TTTATTTATTGTTACCTTGTTTTGTTCTTACCATTAGGAAAATACACACAAATGTACAGAGAAGTAAAATTATAACAATTATTGTTTTTGTTTCTACTATATATTAATACATTACCTCAGATATCTTCGTCTAATCATGTGAATAATATTTATATTAATAAGAATATAATTTTCCTTAATATTATATAAATAAATAAAAAATAGTTTACCAAATGAAATATCCCCAGAAATTATATCTTTCACACGGGACTCGAACGATTCCCATAACAGGTAGCATGGGAAATGTGGGGTGACACGTGGCATGGCGGTTAACCCCTAATGAATTGTGGCAGGATTATAGTATTACGAGTATAATTGTTGGTTACCGACAATTGCGAACATTTATGATACCAATATTATTTTTAAATTTATATTTTTAGAATTTATTTTTATTTATTAGAATTTTATCTCTTTTACATACGTCATGATTTTTTAATACATTTATTTATTGTCTTACTATAATTAGAAACTGCATTGTGATAAAACACTACCATTTTTTATAGATTATAATGGAATAGTGCAACCGCCTGGTTTACGCTGGCGGGGGACCGGGCACATTTGTTTATGTCATACATGTTATTGCTAGATTAAAAAACAACATATTTATTATTTAATTTATATAATATAACTAGAATACCATATTATAAGTATAATAATTTCAAATATAAAATTGTAAGATGGGAAAAAGACGTTACGTTTCTCGTGAGAATATTTTTTATCTGGTGTACATTTCACAGTAGACCGTTTTAATTTCCATAGCAGGTAAGAGGAATAGGGTGACACGCGCCCGGTCGGGCGCATCGGTCATGGGTTCTAAATGAGTTGTAACATATTGTGTCAACCCAGATAAAAAATGTCATATTCACATCGAATATGTTTGTGTATGTTATATGTTGTCTGTCATTATATCTAACGTTAACATTGAACTACTTATGATTGGCTAATGGTCTTATTATTGTAAGGCTAGATAAAATTGCGAACAATTGGCAGGTTTCAGTTCTACGTATTGATTATTAAATATAAAAAAAATGTACTTGTATATATATGTATTATAAATACACAATAGTACATATGTTATAAAGAAAAAAAGACTGGTAATTCAATGAGCATAAACACCTACTAGGTAAATCGACTGATTTTTGTGTATCCTTCATTGATTTGATGTTATTTGATACTAATATTGTAGCGATAGGGGATGGTTTTATGTGCAATAAAATCTTAAAATATGCAGAATTTCTCTGTGTTGAAATTATTTTATAAACTGCATTTACTACATTGTATTCGTAAACAATACTGACAGCACGGAAATAATCTTATTGTATAATTTGACCCTATTTAACACTTAATTCACCCACAGGGTAACGACGGGATTAAAGGGTGGTCCGCTCTCCAGTGAACTCATTGAGAGCGTGTTTTCCGTGAGAACGTGAGCGAAGTTGATTATGGTAACTTCCTTTTGAAAATATATGAATTGACTACAGAAATGTGGTAATAGTAGTAGACACATAGTCGATGGTTATGGATAGCAGTAGCGGTCTATTCACTTTACTGTTTTGTAATTGCACAAAGCATCATGAGATAAGGTCAAGACAATTTAAATGCAGTAAAAAATCACTACAAAAGCCATAAAACTACTAATACTGAACTAATAATAGTAACAATCAATTAAAGAGGTATCTTATATCTTATTTATATGTAAAGAGCGGGACTTGACATTCATACGAGAAATTGGCATTGAATCTGTTGCTGTATTGAAATCACTAGACACTATTTGATCCTTCATTTTAGCCGCGTCATCTGACAATGTCACGGTCAAAGATGCGAACAAAATTAATAGACCAAGTTGATACCCAGATTGACTTTTCAATTCAAAATTAAGTTAATCTGTAGGGTACAAAGACTCGGCTTTTAATTCGTAGAAACTTAGAGATCTATCAAGTTCCGAGTGATAGTAGTTTAGTGTTCGCGTCTGGTAGCGTAATATGTGCAGTTAAAGATAGGTCGTTAACGGAACTGACATTAGAAGCTATTTACTATGTATGTCTTTGATAGCATTTATATATTTATCATTATTTAAAATTGCTTTTGAAACATTTGTTCTTTTATATCATGACTCCAATCGTTAAAGAATTTTAATTTTAACTCTTCGTAATATAATGGTTCTTTTTGTTTCATAACAAAAGACATAGAATGATGAATATGTAGCTAAATTTTTGAGGGCGAGTTTCACAATATTATCATCGAAGAAATTTAACCTATCGATCATAGCATATCCGTGAACATTTAGATCTTCTAGGAGAATCATCTCATGTTATGTAACTGATAGGGCTCCATAACATTCAGCAAATTAGAATTGGTATTCTTTGGGCACGTCGGAATAATTTTGTAGTTTACGGAACTTGGGCAGTAATTCTTCATAAATCAACCGATCATTTTCAAACATTTTAGCTCATTACTCAAGGTTAAACAAATAAATTCAATTGTAGGTTTGTAGGATACTTTTGCCACAATTTTTATAGATGCTCCATTTTCTTTTCACGCTTACATTGTAAGTATCACCAGCATCACCAAGAGTTTCGACTACAACTTTGTTATTTTTAAAACCACGTTTTTCAAGCACAGCAGAGAGAAATTGTTGCTGGCGTTGACTAAGACAGTTCTCCTTCAAATCGAAGAGCGACAAATACATTGGCATTTGGAATTTAAATCAATAACCGCTCGAGTGTTTTATATTACTTCATTTGTGATAGTATAATGAGACACGCCTTATTTATTAGATTACAAAGTTGGCAAGTGCAAATGTCCTAATTTACGATTAAAGTTATCTAGTATTTAATATTTTTATTTTACGTATGAGGTGATAAGATAAGGTGACAGTAACATAAACTGTTACAAATTGAATGTAAAGTCATGTACCTCGATAAGAGGAAACAGTTAAATTGCAAAGATGTCAAAGCTACGCGGGTGTTAATATAATTTGGAGCCTTTTGTTTTGTGTACTAAACAAAACGTAATTTTTAATACAAGCAGAAGAAAAAGGGAAAATTTTCGCGATAAATCAACGGACTGTCCCCTGGGGAACGAGTGAAGGAAATCGCAAAATCGTCTCAAATGAAATTTCTCACTCTGAGGCATACTCGAAAAATTTTGTTCCATTACCATACTAAAACCAATGTCATGTTTTAGGCACTAGAGTTCATTTTTGCTCAGTCTAAAAGAAATAAGAATATTCTTAGAAACTTTCACGCGTGAAATGTATTCGGAGGGCAAATTGTTCCAAATATAGTGAAGTTATATAGGTATGTAAGGTGGTGCGTGAAACTAGACTAGGTCTTAGAATTGGAGTGAATCGTGTAGATATCTAGATCTATATAGAGAGATTTGCGCCAGTTTCATCTAATATAGGCCCTTATGTTTATGAAATATGTCTTTTTAAACATAGCATAACATAACATTTGTAATGCATATAGTTTTATGATTTGTGCCATTATGTTCCGATGATAAATTTTAAATAAAGTTTCCTGTAGGAAATTTCAATAAAAAAAATCTATGTGTAATCGTCGTAATATGATATAAAAGAGTAAAAGTATTTTCATGCTAATACGAATGTTCTTATAACTTAAGGAGGTACCAATTGAGAACGGAACAAAGGAAGAAGAAAGGATTATCGTAATAAATTCACCAGAAATTAACAGTGATAATGCAAGTCAATATGGCATGGATATTGTTGCGAATAAGACTAATACCACCAATGATGCTAGTTTCAATACCCTAACTAAAATAACTAAATCATGTCTGCAGAAGTCTCTACCTGATCGGGTGGGTAAGAAATTGAAAAACCTATAATACGATAAAACCGGGAACAACGACAGACAACGTCCCTTCGTCTAATAGGACATTTTAGTAGAGCGGCGAAAAACCGATTTTACGTTATTGAGTCTTTAATAGGTGTATTCACGAAATAACTTCCACAAATGCGGGATCAGGTTCCATAGGTGTTATTATGGGCTTGTGCATTCTTTATCGGGAAGTCTATCGTCCCCTTAACTATCGTATGGTATGCCAATAAACCGATAACTCAGATGGTCTTACAAAGGCTTTGTATACTTAAACAAAATGAATAAACACGCTCAACTTCTTTTTAAAGACCTTACGGCGTAGAATATAAAGTTCCATATTCTGTAAATATGAATCAGGTGATAGAAAAATGTTGTGTAGGGTGGACAACACATTGGCCTCTAGGGTGTACTAGCTTCATATAGACCAGTGGTTTGTGCTTTTTGTTTTGTTGGTAAGCACTATAGTAAAGTGATATATTGTTTAATATTTGTCAGTTTCTATCAAGAATTTGTTTAAAATCTGTGTTCAAGTAATACAGTAACACATCTACATACAGTAATCACAGCCGTTATTTATAAAAACATTTAATAAACCGATTGTAGCTATTAAAAGAATCAAACTGGTCCTTTTTTTGAGTAAATTTCGTGGCTTGAAGAACTCATAAAGAATGGAAAAACTAAAGAAATTTGCTCTTTGGATATGCAAAATTAAATGCTTAACTTTATTTCATTTATTACACTAAAATATATTAAAATTATTCTATTACAAAACAAATTTATTTTATTACATAAATTTAATCACAAGTCTATTTGATCCCAAGATATTTTTTTTTAAATGATAATATACCTCAGGGCAATTCAGCGCCTTGTAGTCCCGAACTAAACAGAGGTTGTGCTATGGGTACGAGATAACTGACATAAATACATAGATATATTTTTTATAAATATGTACAAACATAATGTACTTAAACACCCAGACAATTATACCATACCCGCAGTCATCGGAAGTAAGGAGGTGTGTTAAACCGCTATATTGTCTACCCTGTCTAATATTTATATAGTATTTTTTCTAAACAAACAACAATTTAAATATTGCTAAAACCATTAACGAAACAAATTAATTTATAAATAACCTAATTCATAGTAGCTATCAATTGTAGATGTTATCTTATTTACATACAGGGAGCGGGACTTGGTTTCCATACGAGAAATTTGCATTAAATCTGTTTCTGTATCACCATCGCTAGTCTGCATTTTATCCTTCATTTCAGCCGCCTCATCTGACGATCGGACGCTGAAAGATGCAAATAAAATTATCAAACCAAGTTGGAATCCAGAATGAGTTTTCAAATCGGAATTAAGTTGATCTATAGGATACAAAGACTCGGCTCTTAACCCGAAGAAACTCAGAGATTTATCAAGTTCCGAGTGATAGTAGTTTATCCAATCTTGGTAATGTTCACGTCTGGTAGCGTAATCTGTGCAGTTGAAGATCATGAAGAGAAGATCGTAAACGGGACTGACAGCGGTAGCTATTTGGTAGTCGATAAGAATACATTCAGTTGGTTTTCCATTCTGTAACAATTATGGTACAATTAATAAAATACAAGGTTTAGAATATATATTTCTAAGGATATTATGTCAGCTATACATCTTATATTAATCGACGTCATTGACTGTTGGACCGGCAGTTTCCGTGTGATGGCAGTAAGCATACAATATTGTTTTAATTACTAGTACTATTATGTTATAAGAAACGTGTTTACAATTCCAGTCAAAAAGGGAGGAAGGAGATTGTCGAGGATTGATTTATTGTAGAGGAAGGAAACCCCATTCCATATACCATGACAGGATGCCCTTCACGCGGTTCCCACTGAAAACTGTCATGAATTTGGCACGATGGGCAAATTAACCTGACCTCATGGCCATTCTGTCATCCTCCACTAGTTCCCGCCTGTGCTAAGGGTAAAACTACTAAAAAATCCAGTGAACTCGGTACTCTACTATATTATGCTTATCTCTGAACGTAGGTACACACCTACAAATTATAGATAACATAAGCAGTAAATGGCCTACTGAATATACATATACGAGTCAATCTAAATCTTTTGGAAAATAATACAATTCTGTAAAACCTATTTTAACAAAGAATAAAATAATTATGAGAAATACGAATTAGTGTTTTAAATAATAGTAATATAAACATTGACAGAGACCCCCTGTGTGCAAACATATACAATAAACAAACTTTTTATCAATAATAGTGATGAAGGATTATTCTTGTGATACGTTATCTTACTTAGATAACAGTTTATATAACTTTACTTTGTGCGAGATAAATAATGCGATAGTTTCATTTAATTTAACCACTATTAAACCAACCTTTAACTAAAATAATAATAATTAGTAAACTACGTTGCAATATCTACACACTGTACACACAAATCCTTATAAAAAGAAAATGTGTTTTATATTAAAACAATAAATTATGATATATCTATACTTACCAACGATTTAAAAAGTAGGTTATTGGTCCATGCATCACCATGGTGGATAACGGTGTTTACGTCCTTATTTTTTAAATCTGCATCGTGTTCTTGCATTTTACTGAGTATGTTTTTGATAACACTTGCATATTTATCGTTATTTAATATTGTTATTGTATCTTTTATCATAGTTGTATAATGATTTTGGAACGGTGGCTGTTTTATAGCATGACTCCAATTATTAAAGAATTTTAATTTCAAATCTTCATAATAAGCTGGTTCTGCTTGTTTTATAACAAAGGAAATAGAATGATAAATGGCTAAGTTTTTGAGAACAGTTTTTACAATATCATCAGTCAAAAAATTTAGTCTATCGAGCATGGCATAGCCTTTAACATTTAGATCTTCTAGAAGAATCATCTCGTGTAATGTATCTGATAGGGCGCCGTAACACTCAGCATATTGGTATTGGTATTCCTTGGGAACACCGGCATCCTTTTGTAGCTTACTAAACTTGGGGAGTAAGACTTCATAAATTAATCGTTCGTTTTCAAACACATTAGCAGTACTCATGGTTAAGCGAATAAATTCAATTGTAGGTGCCACTTTTGCTACTATCTTCAGTGATTCTCCATTTTCTTTTTCGACTATTATTTGTTTCACATTTGCTACGTAATTATCACCGGCCTTGCCAAGAGGTTTTATTACCACTTTGTTGTTTTTAAAACCACGTTTGTCTAGAACATCGCGGAGAAACTGTTGTTGTCGTACACTGAGACTGTTTACGTCTCCTTCAAGTCGAAGTGAGGCCATGTCTATGTAGCACTTTAGGATTTCAATACTATAATGGCAGGTTAAACTTCCACGAATCTTTATATATCTAGTTAGTTCTGATAGTGCATAATCAGTCACGTCAGAGTTATCTGATTATAAACTTGGCAAGTGCATATGTCTCAAACTAAGATGCGTATTGCTTTGTCTTATGTTCATAACATTTTTAATATTGACATTGCATTGGCACAAGATTGATTAGAACTAGTAAGTACTAATGTTGAAACATACTCTCTGTAGGATAATGAATGAAGATCATCACACTAAATACAAAGGACGTTGCAAGGGATTAGTAACACATGAGGTCTCTTCAAAATAAATCAGTGTACAGCATGACATTTATTATTTTTTTCCTCATTGAGTTATGGTTTTCTAAAGTTTGTTTCAGCTACTGTAATTAGTTTAAATTTATTTGTAGACGGAAAAGTATACAGTTGATAACTTTTCTTTATGTTATTGATAATAGCACCACAGAATACAAAATAGCTAAAAGGTAGTTTACCTAGGTGACGAATTTGAAAACATTGATTTATGGTTAAACATACAGATTGTATAATTTTACAAATCTGAAGAGAGCGATCTTTGATGTTATATGCGTAATCGTTATTTTGAAAGTTAGTTGAGTTATTGAGTATACCACTTAGAATTACTACAGATTACTATTACTATAAATTAAATGTCTGTTAATTCGTTAAAATATTTTTAAAAGATTATTCTCACTAACAATTTTCTTACACGTATTTATTTTCTCAGGCCAATTCACACAGCGCCATCTAGAACTAAATTAACAAATTAAGCTTGTGTTATAGGTACTACATAACTGATACAAATACATAGATGCATATTTTTCTTCGTAAATAAATACGTATATATACAAAATAGCCAGACCGATACAAACAATCATATTCATGAATACAAATGTATGTGCCGTGCGAAGAATCGAATCCGCAACAATCGGTTGTAAGGCGAAGTGCTAAACCACTACTGAGGCCGTCAAACATGTAGTTATTATTCTCCACGTAGCAATTATACAAATAAACTATTTTATTTTTATATTATATTTTATAATTATATTTTATTTATCAATTTATCATCTGACTGTAGAAAAAATTCTGAATTAAATTAGTAATAGTAATTCCTATACTGCTATAAGAACATTTTGATATCATGTTTATGAACTTTTGGTTTTCATTTTTGATTTACGTAAAGTTTATGCATGACACCTAATAGTAATTCCTGTACTGCTATGAGAACAATTTGATATCATGTTTATGAACTTTTGGTTTTCAATTCTGATCTACGTAAAGTTGATGCATGACACCTAATAGTAATTCCTGTACTGCTGTGAGAACAATTTGATATCATGTTTATGAACTTTTGGTTTTCAATTCTGACCTACGTTGCATGACAAGCCATATTATGAGTATCAGGGACTTAAGATAAAGTTTTATTCAGTTTATATAAGATCTTATCTTCATATTATATGTATGATAAATAGTAATGTTGGAAAAATACCTGTCATTAATATTTAATTCCTTGAAAAACCAATATATATACCTACCTATTGCTTTTATACATGTATGTTTATATATGTATATCCGTTTGATTAAATTTATTTCCAAATTGTTACTGAAAATATTGCTTTTTTGGGGCAAGAAGATAACTACTTACCATATGTAGTGAACTCCTTGACAGGTTTTTATAATATTTTTTAATTTTATAATCATATTTTCTAAAGGAATATGGAATATTCCTTTTGTTACATCCTATTATATACCGCTGTCATATTAGTAGCATTTTATTTTATCTCCGTATTTCGCTTATAACCCTCTAGCTTCACCATAGAAATAGAAATAATTTGTATTCAAATAAGCTTATAGTACGCATTTTTGAATATCGAAAATGTTTGACTCCTTTATTTGCATATTTGTCATAGCTGGTGACATTTGTTCTGTGGGCTCCCGTGTCATTAGGTACATACTTTGCAATACATTATTAAATCATTAGCTATAGTTGGAAGTTTGCGATAATAGTTCGATTTCGTGTTATATTATTTAGATATATTAGATTTGGAAATGAGTACATTTAAGAAATTTAGGAAGGGATGGATGGATACCTTGTTATATAATGTCACATTTTGTTGAACCCCTGCCTTTTCAATGAATAACGTAAATTATAAATGACTCCTTAATATGAGTTAATAGGATGAAGTAATTATGTGTAATTTATTTATTTGTTATTAACAGTACGGTAAATACATATTCAAATCCATTTTATTTACATACTACATAAACATTTACGATAATTATATACTATTTGTCTAGTTTTTCAAAAGATTATTTCATAGCTCCTATAAAATTTATAATTTATAAAATTGCTATAAAATATAAAACTTATAAAAGTCAGTCGTTGTAAAAAAATTTCTGATAGCAAATTCGAGTATGAAGAATAAAGGCAAGTAGTGTTTAAAACAGAAGAATAACCCCAGGGATTATGTTCCACGTGTTATCGGAACAAGTGGATTTCAGAAATAGAATAAAATTGTCTTTTTAATGGAAAGGTCTAGAAAGATGTATAAGTAGCATATAGATTTATAGAAACGATGCTTAATATCGTCTATAAATATTGTATATAAATTGAATATTATTTTTATGAACTACTTGTGCGCCTAAGAAATTACTTATAACAATTGTACTAAAGAAATGTTTTGCTTATGTTGCGATGTCTGGTTAACAATAAAATTGTATATTGTATTAAAATTAGTATTTGAAGTCTCACACACCTGATGAAATAGTTTTTGTTTTCTTATTATTTATTATCAACATCTTTTACAGATTTCCTTATAGTAGGTATATTGCATGTATATGCCGAAAATGTATCATTCTTTCAAAATTCTTAATTCAAAATATCTTTATTCATTTAGGTCTATACAGACTCATATGATATATCAAATCTACCGTCAGTTCGGAATGTTTTCGAAGTGAGAAAATCTGACAAAAATTTATAACACAAGCTTAGACCCGCGTATACTTAGATTGTGGAATGAACTACCTGCCGAGGTTTTCTCGAGAGACTACAGCATGGGGTTTTCAAGAAGGGTATATTAAGGTTTCTTAAGGGTCGGCAACGCGTATGTGACACCCCTGGTGTTTCAGGCGTCCATAGGCTACGGTAACCGTTTACCATCAGATGGGCCGTATGCTTGTTTGCCACCTAAGTGGTATAAAAAAAAAGCTTAATCTAAGCTAGATTGGGACTACACGGCGCCGTATGAATTGTCCTAAGAATATTATTATTATAATACCTATTGGAAATTTTTTATAGACTTAAAAATGTATAAGAAATAAAGTAAAACAATTTAACAATTAAGAATGTAACAAAAAGTATGTCTGTAGAAGAAGTCCTTTTAAAGTCTGATGAGTGCGTCATAGCTGTATTTGATGTTATCTAAACACTAAATATGACACTAAATATTGACAGATATTTTAATCTGATACTTCGGTAATACTTCACATGATATAGCAGTTTCTATGAAGTAACTAAATATAGTAAAGAAACAAAAAAATTCTGTAAAGTATATTATTCAATAATTTTATATATTATTATTGTTGTTAAAATATGTTTTGTTTTGTCTACATATTTATTTTATATTTGTTTACATAAATTTTATCCTTATCCTATTCTTTAGATAATATCTGATAGTGCTTTACTGATAGAAAACACAAATAAATGAGTTGGCGTTATTGTTACACTACAATGTAATTTACTCAATTAAAAGGTATTTGCCTTTGGTCATGATACATATCGGTATTGGATCGGTTAGGGCGACTATTTGGTAGTACTATTTACCTATGTTGAACCTTAACATTCAACCGCTTATGCATCTTAATTCATCAATTGGCTTGCATTTGAGATTCTGGTGGAAAATATTTTAAATCCTATTGACTGCTTTCCGCACAAACGGAATTTATTATATTCTATGGGAACTCAACTTCCAAACCAGACTCTCCACCACATCTCCGTAGAACATTAGAGTTCTTTGGTCATATTGCGATCGCAAGGAAAGAAAGTCAAAACACGGAGCAGTGATGGTGAATAGGATGGAGAATAGTGTGAATAGGAAACGTCCTAGAGGGCGGGGCTCCGTGTTTTGACTTTCTTTTCTTGCAATCGCGATGTGAGAAGAAGAGACAAGAATGTCTGACCAAATTCGCCCATAGCTGGGCATCACGTTACATGGTGCCCTCCATTATGCAAAAGACCAACTCAGAGAGAGGACTGTATTTAATTTTATTGTGCGCTATTCACTGCGATTACGCTGGCGGGGCAACAGAATAGGAGATAATATGATCATGAAGTCAGGTTAATTAACACATCGTAATAAATTCACCACGAACTTTTCACGATGGTTCCTAAGTGAACTATGTGGAGTCAACCTGACATGTAACATTGATATCAATGGGTTTAATAATACACAGGAGGAAGTAATTATGCACGTCACGATCCTCAGAAGACTTGAAGAGGAGGAGAACTATTGAATTACGCTCTTGTAAGTTGAAATTAGAGAAGAGATAAGATTTAGCAGAGAGGATGGATTCACTGCCCTCACTAAGTTATAGACCGTTTTGTCTCCTTCATTAGTTTTAAATTATATTATTGTATGTGCAACAATTGTATTAGTTTTTGTTTGAGACAAATAAAGATTATTATTATTATTAGTCGGACTAAATCTTCTTATGACACAATTTTTACAGATCAGGGATTCAGATTAACCTGACTAATTAGCTGTACAAAACGCAACTTATAAAATAAAAACAAAAAAATGTTTAAATAAAGAAATCGCAATATCATGCAATGCTATAAATGCGAAGTATTTGTCTGCTCGTTACGAGTATATTTCACAATGAAACGATTGATCAGATATAAATAAAATTTTGCGAAGCTAGCTTTTATAAAAGGAGAATGAATCTGCTTTTAAAGATAAAAGATAATGTATGTCACATAATCTTTTATCTTAAAAAGAAGATTTATATTTTGATAATAATGTGTTTATAGTACGTGCAAATGCGTGTGTACAAAATAATACTGTATCATTTAGGTTAATATTATGTAACATATTCAGAGGTTATCATTAATATATGACGCATTAATGCTGTTCAAGTCATAGCCTTTATTCATCATTAAGTCTAAATTTATACCAGGTTACCGTGACTACAATACAATTGTGCAAATTTTATTTTAAATCTAAGAACGAGCTTTTGTACATACTCGCGAAGCCCAGTGTGGGTGACGCTACTAACCAAATATATAATGATTTTCAAAGATATACTAAATTATTTTAAATAATAAAATATTATTTTAATAAAAGAAATAAATATAATATTTTTAACCGCTATTTTATTATTATTTAAACGAATATGGCAGTGCAACGGTTAAACGGTAAAAATATACTTCTTTGTGTAGTTAGATATATTCAGTACAAGTAATTTGCGTATTTGTGAAAAAATATGTTTAGAATATATCATGTGTACATTATGTCCTTTGCGTAATCTCCATTTAAACACAATACGAGTATCCTAGATCACGATAGCTGTTTATTACTCCTTCTATTCTGCTCTTGAATTTCGAAACTGACTCCTCGTCCAAATTCTTTATTTGAAAACTTTCCATGATCTTCTCCATGTCAACTTTATCGGAGCTTTCCATTAACTCCTTTGCCTTAGCGGCATCTTCTGATTTTCTAATCAGTACCGAACTCAGCATTATTGCATTTGCGAAGAACAGTTTTGAATATCTCTTCAAATCAGCGTCCAGTTGTTCTCTCGAGAATACAAAGTCTACTTTGATACCAAAGTTGGATAAGGATTTCTCTAACTGCAAATGATAGTATGCGATCCAGTCATGGTAATGTTCGCGTCTGGTAGCGTAGTCAGTGCAATTGAAGAGCATGTATAGAACATCACATACTGGATTAGATACTCTTGACAATTGATAATCGATCATAATGGCTTCAACAGGTACTTCATTCTGTGAAAAATATTATTACATGTTATTGCTATCTTTTGACTTACAAGTGACTTCTAAAAGTGAATGTTTTTAGCTCTCTAGTCTATTATAGTAGTTGCATAATGGTTTGTTAACTTAAAAGCGTCACTAATGATTATGTAAATTATTTGATTAACACTGTATATTATGGGAGTCAAAAATAATTTCGTGGGTAACGAATTTTTCAATTATGTGTAATAAAAGTTATTTATTTATAACGAAAGTAGAAGATGGTAATCCATTGGAACTTAGCTTTTTCTAACTTCTAGTCTTTACAGACATGCATATGTATATGAATTATCCTAGTTCTTTTACATAATTTAATAATCACTTTCCCTCAAGATAATCGAGACGAGTCTATTGTATTAAATTTGCAATTACTTATTTTTTATATATTAATGTAGTTCCGGTTCGATTTTACGTTAAATTATTAGTAAATGGTACCGACAAAAGAATTTAGATCAAATCAACAGTAATCATTTGATAATTTATTGATTAGTTGGCAAGAATAAATAACTATCGATAAACTACCTGTTGATAATTGGATATGAAAGTATTTTTAAAATATCAATTAAGCGCGGTATGTCTATCAATGATAATGTAATTAAAAATAATGTACCTACATCTACAATAGAAGACCTTCTATTTCTAAACCTATAGCAATCAATAATAGTTGTGGTTAAAAGGTAGAGCCTAATAAAATGGATAATAAATCGTCGTTCACTAGTGGTATTGTGTAACTCGTCTGGTTACTTGACATTATCTTATCTATATCTACTGTAGAGCAGCAATGTAACCAGTCAGATAACAATGCCGTACCGAACCCGAGATCAATAATATATTAGTTTTCAGCTAATAGCAATGCAAAATTGGAATAATTATACATTTTTTATTTCTCCTCTAGATTTAGATATAAAAAAGTTATTATGATACTAACCTCTAATTTAAACATTATATTATTGGTCCAGCCGTCACCCTGTATTATAACTGAATATTTTAGTCTTATTTCATCTTTTGCAATTTTTTTGTATAATTCTCCTGCTTTAGTTAAAGTGCCACGGATAGCATCTTTATATTTGTTGTCATCTAAAACTTGAATAGCATCATTTTCCATGCTCTGTATATAAAATTTGAATTCTGGAATTTCAGTCATAGTAACAAAACAGTCAACGAGTTTCTGTTTAAATTCATCAAATTTATTTGGTTCCTGTTTTTTGAACACTAGTGACAGAGAATGAAGAAGTGCTAAGTTTTTAAGATTTAGTTTAATGCATTCGTTTGAAAGAGATGTGAATCTATCAAGCATAGTGAAATTGGATTCTAATAGATCTTCTAGAAGAATAATTTCATCTGGTTCATCTAATAATACACCATAGCATTGTGCGTATCGTAGTTGGTCTTCTTCTGGAACACCTTCTTCTTTCTGCAGTTGCAATAATGCTGGTAGAACTTCACAGTACATGAGACCTTCATTACGGAATAATACCTGTGCTTGTATCTGTGCACGTAACTCTTCCTTGGTCGGAGCTATTTTCGCTATAATCTTGAATACATCATTATCATTTTCTTTTACAGTGATCCTTTTCACATTAGCTACATAATTGTCACCAGCTTTACCTACCGTTTCTATAATCACTTTAGTATCAGTATAGCCACGACCTTCAAGCACATCACATAGAAATTCTTGCTGTCGTATTGTCAAACTGTTAATTTCACCTTCAAAACTAAATCGAGCCATTGTGTTGCACGTAAACGAGCGCTTTGGAATTGATACTTTATCAGTTATTGCTTCTATATATAAAGATTTATACGTACCTAGATAATAACAACCTGTCTGTTACGATAATGGGAAATGATTGAAGCAACGATTATTGGTATCATTCAGGTAAACAATTTAGGTTTCTGAACCACAAAAGAAATTGAGATAATTCGCAACTAATTTATTGTGAAGCCAATATCTAGCTTAGGATTTTTTTTATTATAAAATCAGTGTGGAGTTATGGAAGATATAGCTTCATACATAAAAAAAAAGATTCTGTCTAAAAATATCTTTTTTTAAATCTGTTAATAACGTAACAAATTTACAGAGTGAATAATAAACTTTCTGGATTAAAGTTCATTCTAAATAATATGTCATGAGATCCTTTTTAATGATTGCTGTTTTTTACTGAAACTTGACAGTCACATAGAATTTGGCATGAAGACTTTTTATATTCATCCCAATAAATAACGCGTCCGGTTACTCCGAGTCGTTGGGACAGTTTAATGCAATATGTTCGACTCTAATCGTGTGCTTAGGGACTACTTGTTGTTTAATCCGTTTCTGATATCTTAACTGAGCTTAATATCTATTATCTTTAATGATATGTAGTTGATAAAACGTGGTATGTGTCCGTATTATATACAAATTTTTACCAATAGCATCATGTGCGTAACCGGGATATAATGACTGATATTGATAGTGATAAAATTCAATGAAATTGATATATATTGGAAAACAAAATAAAAGCAAAAGTCTATGCTTTTGCCTTTCTCCATGTCTATACATGGAGAAAGGCATTAGAGTAGTTTTATATCTAGATTAGTTTCTTCCCGTGTGTGATTTTTTGCTTTTATTTTGTTTTCTAAGAAAAACTGATTTACCAATCGGAACAACATTTACATAGCTTCTTATATATATATATATATACGTATGTAAATACACAAAGTAAAGTATATCTATACCAAGACTTTTTACGACTTTCAACGAAATTGAATCGGGATCAAATCGAAATGCATCGAATACATAAAATGTATTCCATTGTATTTATATACGGCTTTCTAAAGTAAGTCTTTTATAATTAGCAGTTTTAACATAACGATTTTTATGGTCTGTCTGTAAATAAACGTAGTATGTTTTCAGGATAAGCATTGAAATTCTAAGTCGATCTGATACCTACAGAAATATGTGTACCTGTGACTGAGGCGGGAACACAACGACTATTTTATTAAAAACCAGAATAATTGTAATAAATGAATATCTCTAAAGGGCTCATAGCGAAGTAGTATAAAAATCAGAGTCAGAGAGAAAAGTCAGATCAGAGAATCAGATATCAAAAATACAAAGTTTATAAAAAGAATGGTAGACAAGTTGGCAGCAACAGTACCTATTAAAATTAGCCTATAGTAACGAGTATTGAATGAAATTGAGTGATTCTATTTTTAAATTTATAACCAGAAAATTAAGTTGAAATTCATTGAAACCTTTTTCATCGTCGTTCTACAGATAATGTAAAGAGACCCAAGGGATTTAAGCAGTGAGTTAGATATGTGAATGTTAAAAATAAACCTTTTGTGTGAACATTTGTAACAAAAAATAAAAACGGGTAGAACGATACATCATATTTTTTTACAAACGTTTGAATTTACGAAACCGGTAATGGAGAAACGAAATAAAAGCCAAAGAAAGAGAGAAACATGTATAAATCAAAGGATTGCACTCATGGGAGACTACAGACTACGTGTAGCAAAAAAATTGCAAATTTCTACTCTCGTATGTACTGATAAATATGATAAATATTCATACGGAAACAATTGTCACGTATTCGTTTTTGTGTTTTGTTTTATTTCGTGGTGGTGCTTTGAGACACCGAATATATTATGTTGGTAAATTACTATAGAAGATTACGGCATCCAGTAATCATTGTGAATGCTAATATTGTTGGTTTTTTTACCTAATTTTCTATACATATATATGTTTGTCTGGGATGGTTTTACATACAGATTAAATCTATATATCAGAAAACTACAAGCAACATCATATACAAAATATAGTTATCATAAATAGATATAAAAATGTCTGTTAAAAACATATCACTATCTAACCATGTGGACAATAAATTTTAATTAATATATTTTATTTTTTTATTTTTATACTTATATTAATTGATATAAAGTAAACAACAGCATAATACATTAACGAATTAGATATATATAGCAGAGGTTGAAATAATAAAACAATTTATGATATCATTTACTATTATAGTTATTCTCTATCTGCTTTACGCATCCTCGTATCAGATCAGAATTTGAGAAACTAAAGCAGGTGATGTACTCTCATTGACATTTGAAAAAAAATGCGTAAATAATATTGGTATTGTAATAATTATTTTCTTTAATTACTTTCGTGTTTAATATACGTTATTTATATTACTAAAGAAGAGTCGAGAGACAATCTTTATTTGGCAAAAATTATTCGTGCTAAGACGAACAGAAAGGTATTCTCTTTTTAAATACTGAGGAAGTATGTATCAATAATATGGACTTTAAAAAAAAATGACATTTCAATAAATTATGTATAATATCAGTTCGTAACACTTAGTAAAATTCCCTTTAAATATATACATATAAATTTGATTACAATTCTAGCTACATTTGAAAGAGTCACTTTAGGTATATAGACTACTATGAATTTCAATGATATTGAATAATATTACTTAACTACTAGTTTATAAGGAAGTTATGAGATAAGGTCTTTATAAACAAAAACAATATAGTGATAACCTCCTTCTTTATATGTCATGGACTACAAGCCTGTGATAGTGGGTTTCAAACTTTGCTTATCCGGCATGACACCACAGTTATACCTCAGAGTAAGAAAAAATGCAGAGGATCCACAAAGCTATGTGAAACAGAAATACACAGCTATTTACTACTTTATCTATTTTCTTTTTATATTTGCCATTTAATTTCGGAAGCCACTCATGGAAATAGGTGTTACGCTTTGTATAAATCAAATTAAAAACAATATTTAGACTACATGTAAATAATGGAATATGCGTCTCAAATGTTCTAATTATTATCAATATTATAATTATTACTATTCCACTGTTTAGAATGACAAGACATTACATTTTGAATAATACTGATAACTATTATACACTGTTACTATTATATTTCAAATGCAAATTGTCACACTACTTTTTATGCCAAGTAACCCAACTCACGGTAAGAATCAACTAAACCTTCTATTCTACTCCTGAATCGTAATATAGAATCATTATCCAAATCTTTCATTTGAAAACTTTCTAGTACTGTTTCGATATCACCTGCGCTTTGCATTGCATCCTTTACTTTAGCAGCATCTTCTGATTTTCTAATTAGCAGACTGCTCAACATTATTGAGCTTGCAAAGAACAATTTTGAGTATCTCTTCAAATCAGCATCGAGTTGTTCTCTCGAAAATACGAAGTCGGCTTTTATGCCGAAGTAAGAAAATGATTTCTCTAACTCTAGATGATAATAGTCGATCCAGTCGAGGTAATGATCGCGCCTGGTGGCGTAATCAGTACAGTTGAAGATCATGTACAGGAGATCGCATACTGGATTTGATACTCTTGACATCTGGTAATCAATCATAATGGCTTCAACAGGTATTTCATTCTGTGGAAAAATAATATTTTTTTTAATTATATAAATAACTGTATAGATAAATATGAAATCATAAATTAATTAAGTTTTATGACAAAATATAATCTACAAAGAGACTTCAAAGCAATTTTTTTTCTTAATGAGAAAGTTCTATTCCATAAGTGTTTGATTAAGTTTATTTGAATAAATTATTTAAATGGAAAAAAAAATAATTTTATTTATTTTAAATTATTTATTACTTGATTGCTAATAAAATATAATACATACCTTTAATTTAAACATTATGTTATTTGTCCAGCCGTCACCTTGTATTACAACTGAATATTTTAGTTTGTCATCGTTCTTAGTAGTTTTTAAATGCAAATCCACTAATTTAGATAAAGTCCCGCGAATAGCATTTTTATAATTGATTTTATCAACAGCTTCAATTGCATCATTTTCTATAGCCGATAGATATAATTTAAATTCAGGTACGGTTGCTATCATTTTGAAATTATCAATTAGTTTTGGAATGAACCCTTGGAATTCGTCGGGATTACGTTGGTTCAAGACTATTGATAAGGAATGAAGAATTGCTAAATTTTTAAGATTCAGTATTATGCATTCATTTGTAAGAGATGTAAATCTATCAAGTATGTTGAAATCGGATTCCAGAAGATCTTCTAGAAGTATAATTTCATACGGTTCCTCTAATAAGACACCATAGCACTCAGCGTATCGTAATCGATCTTCTACTGGAACTCCTTCAGCTACCTGCAGTTCTACTAATCTTGGAAGAATTTCATTATACATTGCGGCTTCATTACGGAATAATAACTGCGGTTGCATTTGCGCACGAGCAATTTCATGAGTTGGAGCTATCTTAGCTATAATCTTGAATGCATTACCATCTTTTCCTTTAACAGTCATTCTCTTCACATTAGCTACATAGTTGTCACCGGCTTTACCTACAGTTTCTATATGCACTTTGCTATCAGTATGACCACGTCTTTGAAGAACACTACAGAGAAATTCTTGTTGTCGTTTAGACACACTATCAATTTCGCCTTCAAAAGTAATTCCTGCCATTTTTAATATATTAAAACTGTATTTGCACTGACTTGGTACTGGCGGATTTATCAGCTGTAGCCGTTATATATACATTAAAGTATCCGTAACCAGATAATAATTCATCAATAAAGATAATATTAAAAGTATGAAACAATTATATTATGTTGATGTTTTGGACAAATTAGTTGTCTTATTTGCTTATATTATCGAAATGTTATTTGTGGTACACAAGCTAATCATTATTATTTTGTATTCTACATTGAACTATTTTTAAAATACTGTTTCTTAGGTATATGAATTATATAGCATACTGAATTGAAAACTATGGGTTTACAATTATTCTATCTCTGTGTTAGCTTTTCATTTAAAAACTAGATGGATTATAATAAAAAAATTACAGTATATCTACGTATTCATCTTAACAAAAGTTTACTTTTTCATATACGCACAATATTTGTTACTACAGGGGAGCGTAATCATTGATACATTGTGGGGAAGATTAAAGGGGTAACGATTTTGGTTAATATCTGACGAGTTTCCTACGATGGTCCTTAGAATACGGATGTGATTAGATGGCGAACATGCTGACGGCTCATCGATACCATATTTAAACCTTTAAGAAAACAGTTTATTCCTTCTTTAAAGGCAACGTAGGTACTTGCAATTCCCCTGGTGTTACGAGTGCCCATGGGCGATGGTATTACCATCAGGTAAGCCGTAAGCTTGTTTGTTCCTATAAGAGGGGTCATCATGAGTTATCTGGGGCACTATTCATACGTTGCAAGAGAGAACATCCGGAGAACTAATATGTAATTAACTAAACTAATGCACCATGCTCTGTAACTTTACCACTTTCATCCCATCAACTGAAACAAAATCCAAAATCCAAAATACGTGCCAGCTTGTATTGGTGAGATGGGTCTACATTGTTAAGTTCGTCCACAACCTATCATTTACCAATGGTGCTCGGTCAACGTATACCATTAGAGTTAATAATAACACAATGGGGAGTAATTTTTAAGTATATATACATACAATATGACGCGCACAGATTATCTGGTATAATTATGTTACACATATTTGATTTGGCACTATTCATAAATTGTAATTGAGGAATTATTGTGTAGTACAATTTACGTATGAATTAACGGATTCGATAGTATCTTATCTACATAATCAGTAGATAATAGTACAATTATATACCTACTATTATTATTAATCTAGTAATTGAGAACTAATGATTGTATAATTATAAAAATAGAAAAGAAAAATCTGATGCTTTATGTACCCTAATCTCATTATATGTGGTAAACTAGCAATAGTCACCTACATAGCTACATATATGTCCCGCCTATATATTTTTTATGTAAGACCAATTTGTGCCAATTGGTAGGGAATGGTATTGGTAGTAATGTCGACTAATATCCCCATTGGTAACAATTAAGTAAAGTCAGGTTGACCTCCACGTTGTTCCCCCTGGAAACCATCGTGGTAAATTGCCATTTGCCAACACAGGCTAACTCACCTGCCCTCATGTTCATCCTATCATCCTCCACAGGTGCCCCGCCAGCGTAGAACATTAGCGCAGACAGGTATAAATAAGTAAATAATAAATGAATTACCCAGGACAACTAACAAAGCGCTATCTAGTCCCACGGTAAGCAGAGGTTGTGTTATGGATACTAGATACAAAATAACTAATATAAAAACTTAGATATATATATATAATTTGTAAATACATACATAACATACATAGTAGAGTCCCATACCAATACTAACAATCATACTCATGAATAGAAATGTTTACACCGTGCGAGGAATCGAATCCGCGATTATTTCAATATTACAAATAGACACTCCAAATTTATTTATATGTATAAATGTATACACAAGACAGATATAATCATGTTTTCACTAGTAGCCCTCATGCATCAAGTGTCATGCCTCGTCCGCATCCTATGATTTCACTGCCATACCTCAACCATAAATGGAAACAGTCTTTTGAATCAAGTTGGTTGGCGACTGAATAGATTATCCACCTGGTCAAATAGATAAGTCGGTATGGTAATTAAGTCTCATTTATAAATAATTAAAAACAGATTATCTAGGCATTACCATTGTTATCATAAATGTGTTATTTATACGTATGATTAATGCAGCTATTAGTTTAAAAATATTTGTATAGGCAATATAAAGAAATACAGAATATGTTCGGTCCTTCGAATATTATTGTTTTCGAAAGGTATAATAAAAATCGGATTTATTTCGAAACCAATCTATTGGAAATCGGTTAAAATAAATATTTCAGTAAATATTAAGATACAATTTAGGATTTCTTAAGAAATACTGCGTGGAATTTTTCAATCCCAATTGTTTGTTTAATGAATCGTATACTTTCTGTGATATACTCACAGGATTCTAAATAGTCGCGCGTAAAGTCGTCCGCATATCTAGTATGTGATAGCTATGAAATTAAATCATATATTAGCCCATAATACAACTACCTCCTTAGTGTTAGATACTTTGGTAATTCCAACTTAACCTAAAAATAATAATATTAATACGCGAAACAAAACGTTGACACCTTTTTATGAAAATTGCACGAACGGAGAAGCATATTTCGTGGGCTTATAGTTTATACAGAGAAGGATTGCAGAGTGCTAATATTTTGTTTTAAATTATGCATAAAAATATATTAAATCAATAAAAAGAACATTACACATACTAACCATGTATTTGACACACACATGCGTAGAAGTTTTTGATAGTAGAACCTTAATAATATAAAAAATATAACTAATAGTTTAAATTAATTATGGTTTATTTTCGATTGGGCGACCATTAGTATAAAAACAAATATTATAAACGTACTAGCTGTATGTGTATAAATTTTAATATGTATAAATACATATTGAAATTTATCTAAACATTAGTTATTGACATTGTACAAAAACCATTCATTATACATTTAGGTATTAATTATTTGTAAATCTGATATGAGATAAACATAGTATAACTTCTTCTACAATCTTATGCTATAAAATTTAATTACATTATATTTTTATCCACCCACTTTAAAATATTAATTATATCAAGAAAGATATATGCACTATTACGTGTATATGTATGTCTATATACTTGTTTTATTAAATACTAACTGTGCTCGTTTATTCACTAGTGTGAAATGTGCTGGCTATGTGTTATTTTGATGTATAAGCTATATTACTGTAAATTTTCATGAAAATCCTTTCAGTAGTTTTTATAACACTAGTAAAAAATAGATCTTACATTATTAATGTATTTATGTTCATTATTGTATTTGTTATTGTTATTATCTTTTGAACCTGGAGCAGAAAAGAGTATAAATTAAAAATTAATTAAACACACAGTAATTATATAAGTATATATTACAATACATATATATACATAACAGTCAACTAAGTATGCATGATAGATATGCACCCGATTACAAACATTATTAGTCATCACTTTTTTGTTGCTTCCTTTTTGGCAAATTGAAACGAACTCTTCCCATGCGCTGTGTGGTTCACGTGGGAAAGTTTACTGTTACATGAGAAACGGCCTTGTGCAGTGACCTTCCGCGATCTGATGGACAAAAAATCACTTACCGCCGTAAGAATTTGTAACTGTTACTTTTATAAGTTTTTACGCATGATTGGTGTAAAATGAACTACATTTAACAGGGATTTTATTTTGTATTTTAAAAATTGTTTTATTGTGTTCTAATTTTGATTATGCACCATTACATTCCTAATTTCAATTAACTCTCACCACAATCAATTTTAACATATAAATAAATGAATTAATATGATAATTAATTTATTGTTTATCGATATGACCGCCTTTATTATAAGTTATTGTATTTTTACTATTTTTATTTCTATTTTTGGTGCAATAAATTGTATAAATAAATAAATATTCATAAGTTTACTATATCTATATTAGTATTTATTAAATATGTTGGTATCGTAACATTATAATTTTTAAGCCCATTAATATAACCACGGCACGCGTCAGCACCCTTTAGTTATCTCAATAATTCCCATGAAAATTCCCATACGAAATATTCAATTTGTGGGGGCCCCAAATATAGAATTTCGCGAAGTTCGATGCGAATCTGAATTAATTTATACCTTATAGTTTATTATAGAGTACAATTTCGTTAATAATTTTGTTTGATGCAATTGATGCATATTATTAACAGAAATTTCATTATTATATTATGGGGTTTGATGAAACATTGAGGTTGTTTAAGTGTTTGAAAATAATATATGGGTTAGTCGTAAAAATAACAATTCTTTATTGCGAACAGAGAATATATATAAATACAAAAAAACGCATAAGTTGCAAAAATAAATATCAAAAGGCGATCTTATCGCTATCATCAATCGCTTACATATAGAAATATAAAACTTACTCGGTATGACAGGGTAAGAAAATAATTAGAGAGCTACTTATAAAAAAACTCACAAGACTAAACTACAAATGACACTGTCATTCGCTAACATAATTGCATTTAAAAAATTAAGATGATGTTAGGCAACCTTTTAATTTTTTTAATTTTGTTCATCTAATTTTAGGCAGTGTCGGAAATAACTGTTACGCTTAAAAGAATGATATCAATACTACATGTATGTAACGCGTCTCAATAGTATTATAATAATTACTTACAATCTGAACATTATACTTTGAATAGCATTGTTAATTGTTAATATATTTCAAATGAAATGAAATGTAATGCAAGGTAACGTAATTAATGATAAGAATCAACTAAACGTTCTACTCTAGTCCTGATTCGCAAAATAGAATCATTATCCAAAGCTTTCATTTGAAAAATATCTAAAACAATATTGATGTTACCTGAGTATTGCAGTCAAATCAATAATACCAATACTTAGACTACATATAAATAATGGAATACGTATCTCAAAACTTTTGTTGTTTAGAACGATAAGACTTTGAATAATACTGTTAACTATGCACTGTTACTTTTATATTTTAAATGTAAATTGTCACACTACTTTGACAGGTAACCTAACTCACGATAGGAATCAACTAAACCTTTTATTCTATTCCTGAATAGTAAAATAGTATCATTATCTAAATCTTTCATTTGAAAACTTTCCATAACTGTTTCGATGTCCTCTGCGCTTTGCATGGCGTCTTTCACTTTAGCAGCATCTTCTGATTTTCTAATTAATAGACCGCTCAACATTACTGCACTAGCAAAAAATAATTTTGAGTATCTCTTCAAATCAGCATCGAGTTGTTCTCTCGAAAATACATAGTCAGCTTTTATACCAAAGTAAGACAATGATTTCTCTAACTCTAGATGATAATAGTCGATCCAGTCAAGGTAATGAGCGCGCCTGGTGGCGTAGTCAGTACAGTTGAAGATCATGTACAGGAGATCGCATACTGGATTAGATACTCTTGACATCTGGTAATCAATCATAATGGCTTCAACAGGTATTTCATTCTGTGGAAAAAAAACTGTTAGTGAATAATATTTCATTAAATTATATAATTAACTTTATAGATGAATACGAAATAATAAGTATATAAATTTTTATAACTTATATTTTAAAGTTAAAAACAAAATTTTCGAGCTCTTCTTAGAAGAGCAAGAAAATTGTATTTCGGCAATTCGGACGACACAATCAAGAAGAATTGTTGATAATTAAATTTTATTGAATAAATGATTTAAATTAAAAACTATTTAAGATGCTGATAAAATACATACCTTTAATTTGAACATTATGTTATTTGTCCAGCCGTCACCTTGTATTACAACTGAATATTTTAGTTTGTCATCGTTTTTAGTAGTTTTAACATGGAAGTCCGTTAATTTAGACAAAGTCCCGCGAATGGCATTTTTATAGTTTATTTTATCAATAGCTTCAATTGCTTCATTTTCTATAGCCGATAGGTACATTTTGAATTCAGGTATTGTAGCCATAATTTTGAAACTATCAATAAGTTTTGGAATAAAGGCTTGGAATTCATCGGCGTTACGTTTATTCAAGACCATTGATAAGGAATGAAGAATTGCTAAATTTTTAAGATTTAGTCTTATGCATTCATTTGTAAGAGATGTAAACCTATCAAGTATTTTGAAATCGGATTCCAGAAGATCTTCTAGAAGTATAATTTCATGTGGTTCCTCTAATAAGACACCGTAGCACTCAGCGTATCGTAATCGATCTTCTACTGGAACACCTTCAGCTACCTGCAGTTCTAATAATCTTGGAAGAATTTCACTATACATTGCGCCTTCATTACGGAATAATAACTGCGGTTGCATTTGCGCACGTACTATTTCGTGAATTGGAGCTATCTTAGCTATAATCTTGAATGCACTGCCATCCTTTCCCTTAACAGTCATTCTCTTCACATTAGCTACATAGTTGTCACCGGCTTTACCTACAGTTTCTATATGCACTTTGCTATCAGTATGACCACGTTTTTGAAGAACACTACAGAGAAATTCTTGTTGTCGTTTAGACAGACTATCAGTTTCACCTTCAAAACGAATTCCTGACATTTTTAATATATTGAAACTGTATTTGCACTGTCTTAGTACTGGCTGTATTATAAACCGCTACCGTTATATATACGTTAATTTGTCTATATCCAGATAATAAATCACAACCAAGATTATATTAAATGTACATAGTCATTATTATAATGTTGACGTTTTATACAAACAAATTATCTCACTTGCTTCCATTATCGAAATGTTTTTTGTGATACACATGCTAATCATTATTTTTTGTATTGTACATTAATAATTTTAAAAATGCTTTTTGTTAGGTATTTACCAGATATATAGCACACTGAACGGAAAACAATGGTTTTCTGAGTATTCTAGCTGTGTGTTAGCTTTCATTTAAAAACAAGAACTATTATGATAAAAATTTTACAGTATAATAATACTGTAAAATTTTCATCATAGACAATAGTCTATAGTCTTGTCTATAGTCTTAATTTACTTTTTCCAAAGATTTGTTACAGCTATATATTATTAGAAAACATTGTGGACGCTATTTGATAATAGAGAGTATAGTAATTGTTCCGATGTGGAGAAAGCGAAAATGGATCGTTTATAAATAACTTTAAGATCTACTAGTTTAACCTAAAACCCCAGTATGCCAATGTCCACGCGGACGCTACTGCTAACGATCATGCTTAATTCCTGACGAGTATTCTACGAAGCTACGAGTACTTAGAATACGGACGTAATTAGCATGCTAACGGCCCACCTCATGGTAAGTGACAATGGACGTCGACTATATTTTATAGACGGCCTTGGTGATCTAGCTGTTTAGCACACCGCTTTATTTCCGATGGTCGTGGGTTCGATTCTTCGCACGGTGCAAACATTTGTATTAAAGAGTATGATTGTTTGTATCCACCTGCGTGTTTGCTATGTATATTACTAAAAATATCTTAGTATTTAAATCAGTTGTCAAGTACCCATAATACAAGCTCAATTTACCTTGGGACTAGATGGCGCTGTGTGCGCGTGTTAATTGTCCAGAGTTATTTATTATTTATTTATTCACGAACAGTACCACCAGCATCGTCATGTGTTACTCGTGGCACTTCTCATGTGCTATTTCGGAAAAGTGTCCACGATTTCACACGCGTTAAATTTCAATAATAAATATAGCCTATGTGTTATTCTGATACATAAGCTATATTACTGTAAAGTTTCATCAAAATCCGTTCAACAAACATTCATACTTACAAACTTTCGCGTTTATATGTAATATATATATATTATTGAAATAATAATGAAATAACATTTATTGAATAAATATGCAATAACTGTATAGTATACACTGTATAGATATATATATATATATATATATATATATATATATATATATATATATATAAATATCCCCTTGGGCACTTTGTGGCTCAGACGTGCCGTATAGGTAGTTTTTTGTTGATCCTTTTTCACTTGTTGATCCGGAGGCCTTTTGTTGATCTAATGCCAGCTGACGATATATAAATGTTGATCCTTTTTGAGCCACAACTGTCACGACGAGTAATAATAATAATTAAGCGATTTATACACGATTTTATACAAATCCACCTTTTTGGCATTCGACCACTTCTTGATCCAATTCAAACGGGCCAATCAGGGTGCAGCATTTGCCAAGGGCTTCCTCATTGGCACGTTTGGACTACTACATTATGGCTACAGTAACTTAATAATGTCTAGCTAGTATTTCAAGAATAATAGTCTATCTAATCTAAATATTTATAGAAATCAGTCTAGAGGAACGTGACTCCAGATCAAACCTCAATACTTGTTATTTTTTGGACGGGAATTTTTCCTTTAGTAACAACGTTACTGAGCGAATGAAGAGAAGACGTAACGGCGGATCCAGGGGGAGCGTCATGGAGGTCTTGGGAGTCATGGGGGCGTCATGACTCTCCCCCCCCTTACCCCAGGACTTAGGTAGACCACTAATTGAACTAAAAAATAATGAAACAGCAAATTTTTTTGCACGATCGGAGTGTTGGTGCAGTAGTATTAATTATAATTAAACATTGTTACTTAAAACATAACAGTTAAAGTACTATAACACTAAAAGCAAAATAGGTATTTTCAAAATACTTTTTCAAAATAAATTACCCTTTGAGTTTTTGTCCAAACCTCAGATATTTTATTTATTTTAGGTATATCAATCATTACATAGTATAGTATAAAACAAAGTCGCTGTCGCATCTAACAAGTACATAAATAAAGAAACAAGACTTTTTGGCTCTGAATATATTTCAAAAATCAATTACTTGTGTTAATCAATTTATATACTCGTTCTTATTTCATAGTACTTGTTTTGATCCGAATATATACAGATACCGTAACGGTCTATTAATTATGAATTTATTATACCTAACCTAGATATTTTATTTTGACGAAACTCCGTGTAGTAGTAGTATCCGATAAGGGTATGCGAACCCTAAGTATTATTTCAAAATGACTAGTAATTTCGAAGAAATAAGCCTTTGAATTTCAAATCAACTTACCAAACGGACGCTCAAGGTTCGATTCCCGCCACCGATTTTTTTTTGTTATTTTTTTTTTGTCTTTATTCTAATTTTAAATTAACTATTTTAATAATTAAATGAATTTAATCGAACAAAACGTTGTTAAGTATTAAATTAATTTTAATTTACATTACCTATTGTACTTTCTAAATTGTAAAGCAGCTAACAATTATAGTAAGATCTTATAAATAACTAACACAACAAGTAAAACATTTTAAATGTATTTTCTTTATTATTACAAATATTTTTTATGCATAATATAATAGTTAATACCTAATAAATACATAATGATCTGATAATCAAATTATAAGTACAGTCTCAAATTGAAAGTAAGAAAAACAGAAAATATAGAGAGAACTATAGGGATATAACAGAAAGATGTGAAAAATGGAGAAGGACAGTAAAAAAGTTACAAATTTAAATAACGTTGCCGCAATTTCTGTTTAAATGAATTTATTACATTATTATATATATTAGGCATACGACTAGCCTTATGACTGTTACTTTTTTTTTAATCTATACATCTATACATGTAAATAAAATTGGAGTGTCTGTTTGTAATATTGAAATAACCGTTTTTACTACTTGCATATGAATATAAATCCGGTACATACACCAAAATAACATATTTTACAAGTTTTGTCTGTCTGTCTGTCTGTTTGTTCCGGCTAATCTCTGAAATAGCTGGACCGATTTTGACGGGACTTTTTTTGGCAAGTAGCTGATGTAATAAGGAGTAACTTACGCTACTGTTATTTTAGAAAAATAAAATAAAATTTCACGCGGACGAAGTCGCTGGGGCCAGCTAGTCTATAGATATACCGAGATTTAATATTTAAGTTGCTATTATGTTGTTGACAAAATTTTACTGTAATGTTACTATTACGTTATCCTACACAATTTGTATTATTTTGGATGAATAAATAAATAAATAAATAATAATCTATACATCTATACATACAAATAAAATTGGAGTGTCTGTTTGTAATATTGAAATAACCGTTTTTTACTACATGCATATGAATATATATAAGGTACATATACCAAAATAACAATTTTTATAATTTTAGTCTGTCTGTCTGTCGGTCTGTTTGTTCCGGCTAATCTCTGAAATGGCTGGACCGATTTTGACGGTACTTTTTTTTGGCAGGTAACTGATTTATAAGGAGTAACTTAGGTTACTTTTATTTTAGAAAAATAAAGTTTAATTCCACGCGGACGAAGTCGCGGGAACAGCTTGTTTTTAATAAAAACGGTTTATTTGATAGAAAAAACATCTTTTTTGTGGTACTTGAGAATGTTGAAGCCTGTTGTTTGTAATATTGAAATAACCGTTTTTTACTACTTGCATATGAATATAAATACGGTACATAATACACCAAAATAACATATTTTACAATTTTTGTCCGTCTGTCTGTTTGTTCCGGCTAATCTCTGAAATGGCTGGACCGATTTTGACGGGACTTTTTTTGGCAGGTAGCTGATGTAATAAGGCTACTACCTAGTAACTTAGGCTACTTTTATTTTAGAAAAATAAAGTTAAAAACCACGTGGACGAAGTCGCGGGAACAGCTAGTGTATAATATATTAGAGATACCTACGTGTTTTTTTATTGATGACTAGCTGTACACGGGATTTCGTCCGTGTGGAATTTAACTTTATTTTTCTAAAATATAAGAAGTTAAATTCCACGCGGACGAAGTCGCGTGTACAGCTAGTTGTCGGTAGTCTAGCGATTTAGCTAGCACACTGCTTTGATTCCTGCTTGGTGGTCGAGGGTTCGATTCCTCGCACGCTGCAAACATTTGTATTCATGAGTATGATTGTTTGTAACGGTCTGGGTGTTTTCTATGTATAGATAATATATATGTATTTACGAAAAAAAAATCTTTGTATTTATATCAGTTGTCTAGTACCCATAACATAATCTTCAGCTAGCTTAACTTGGGTCTAGATGAAGCTGTGTGAATTGTCCTGAGATTACTATTATTACTATAATAAAGCTTTTCAAATCAGCCGATGTTTATTTTTGCCATAATACGTGCTGTTACCATGTGATAATATTACGTACGTACTTATTAAACTATTAACTTATTATTAAATTATTAACTATTTATACTGTTTTAAATGTGATGCGTTCATTATTTATATTTCCTTTGAATTAAAGACAAATGTATATATATATATACATTTATATAAACTTGCACACTTAGTTGATCCAGCCACGATCCGTAGATATTGCTGATTCCACTGTCTCTCTCTTTCTATCACTATCTTTGTATTCTAATATGCGATGTTGCCGTTCCGGCATGGTCTCGGCCGGAACGGCAACATCGCATATGTTGCGCGTTGTTGCCAAATGTATTCGTCGATAGTAGTAGATACCTATACGCGATATATATTTTTTCAACAATTTCCTGCAATAGTGAATCCGTATCGGCAATTTTTTTTAAATGCACAAAGATTTTTTGGCTCTGA